TATTAGGTTGCTTCGGCATTCATTTCTAAGTGTGTTTGGACGGCCAGCGGCGGTGTGTAATCAGCTATGCCTATACTCAAACCAAAGGGATGGGATATGTGTAAGATAGTGTAATATTTATGATGTATAATATCATCCGTACAATCTGCGTGATATGTACTGCATATGTGTATTACATATCCCACCATCAGTTGACTATGATGAGTGGGAAACATCCCTGAGGGCTTACAAGCAACTGGTTCAATGGCACTAGGTCGTTCTCAAAACAATCAATGCCCCCCCAAAACAATAAATAGATATACGCCGTATACCATGATATACAGGAAAACCATGAGGTCTTCCCCCTAAGATCCCTCACCTTATCTCACCTTCCGTCCCTTCTCGTCGCATGAACCCGCTCTTCGCTCGCGCCTTCACCGCGCTCAAACCGCCCATTTCAAGCCGCCGCGGTCCAAGCGCTCTGAGCGGGTTGGACGGTGCTCCCAAGTGGCTGGAATGAATCCCGGAGACTCGTTGTAGATTCCTCACGACCAACCAAGTCTTCGCACGTGTTCAGCATCTTTTGCGGGGCGTTTACATGCGAGAGAGGTCATCAAAGCTATTGAATTGTCCGATTCAGTGTCGTGAAATGGTTGAAATTTGTCTGATGAAACTTTGACGCCCGCTGCCACCCTAAGAATCCGGGCCCTCAAATAGTTGAAAAGGGTGGCAATGAGGGTCTGGACCCCTGCTTTGGAGAGAACCCGACCCCATAATGGCCATATGGACAGCCCTGCAGATTCTTCGAGTGGGGTGAACCTCCGTCTGCTTCACATGAAAACCAGCCATGGGGCGCATCAGGAGCATCCGGATGCTCTCGCCGTTGAAGGTCAGGCCTTTGGAAGGTCAGGCCGTCGAGGTGCCGAGCCCGGCGGGACAAGTGCAGGTGAACCCCATGGATAGGTAGCTTCACTTGATGCCCCTTGGTTTCTCAATATGAAACCCACAAGACTCCCACAACAACTGTCCCCCCAAACCAATTCCCCCCAAAAGGCGGCTTCACGAAGCTGAACACTGGGTAGGTCGACCAGTGTTCAGCAAGCTGAACAAACCACACTGGGTAGGGAAAACGCTCATGGCATCTCATCTCGTTTCCGCCACCTTTTGACGCTAGGACTCGTAACTCTCGGACAGGGGTGAGCAAGCCCTGGGTCGGTCGTCTCTCCGTGGATGGCCTTGTTCGTGAGACGTGTGCACTGTTGCAGGTCAGAACGGACAGATCCAAGGGTCGAAGGCTCGAAGGCATCGGACATCGGGTGGACGGGGCCAAGGAGCCGTTTCGGGAGTTCACGCGGCCAAGGTGGGCAACGGTTTGGGCAACTCAACGGTGCTCCAAAGAATGGGCAACTCGATGAGCCAAGTTGAACTTAGACTTGTGAATCGTGGCTGGTTCCCTCAATCCAAACGGTAGAACCATGGTCAAACCATGGTACAACCACTTGGAATGATGGAAGTCTTATGGCTTTAATCCTTCAATTCGATTCCACACCTCAAACTCGACAACACATCGGACGCCCAAATCGATTTCGGACGACCAACGAGAGAGGCGGTCCACGCTAAGAAACCTTTCGATCGCCTCGGGCTTTCCATTGAATTCCGTCATATTCCGTCCCATCTGTTCCCATCCCCAAACGCTCCATGGGACTGCCATATATGCCGATCAGTTGGGGTGGTTTGAGGGGTCAATGTAGGCATATCATATATGGCATACATGGAGCGCCTGGGATCTATTGCTGCTTTTGCGGCAGGTCATGCCCTCCGGGCCCGCGTCCACGTTCACATCATAGGCAGCATCCCCTCAACGCGAAGCAGACCCGGGGCCAAGGCTCGGTTTGGTCACAGACCCGGGGGGTGCATGTTTACATCAATTTACCAGGATGACCCAGGAATTGACATACCCATGCATTCTCCAAAGTTCTGATTGCCAAATCTCTCGCCGAGCCGTGATGATTTTGGAAGATGTTTTCAGGATCTTAGAGAAATTGATGGGCGATGACTTGCCCCCCCCAATTTCCTGGAAGCACACACTTGAACTTGCTTCTCTAATCCTTGCGGACTTTGAGCATCTGAAGGAGAAGTGTCTGAAGCTTTCATGCCCCCCTTAATACCGCCCCATGAGCCCTAGGTTGGGCCTCTGTATCGGGTGGTACCCAGGTGATACATGTCCGACTGTGATGCAGTTGCAGCAAAACAAGAACACACCCAACAAATGAAGAGGTGCACCCAAATAAGCCCGCCAACAAGGCTTTGGTAAAAAGGCATTCATGTGGATACTTGCCCTCATCAAAATAGTACAGCTGCCACATGCTAAGCCTGCTAAGCTGCAAAGCATTGGCTACGAGACAAGCAGTTCCTAGGACGATTTTGTCCCTGCTGATCACCAGTGCAGGAGCACAAGCAGGAGTACTGCTTGCAGCACCTGCCTTCCCTTCTCCAAAAACATAGAAACAATATACACACAAACACAACAGCTAGTAGAGCTAGCTACTTGTCAAACAATGGAAAGTTGAACGTTCACTTCAAAAGTAAGTTCCCCCCTTTTCTGCAAGAGAAACCTTGGGCCACCCCAATTGAGACCGAAATGGACACCACTCCGAACCCTTTGGATCCCTTTGGGTGCTTCATTGGGCCATCTGCTCACGAACCTTGGGCCATTTGCTCCATGCTCAGATGCTTAGAGCCATCGCTTCACGCTTCACGGAACGTCCGCCACCGTGTTCTTCGCGTTCCTCGCCTCGCAACAAGGAGCGCTCCCCGAAGCAGCCAGGCCGCTGGACCTGGAGAAAGGTTGGACGAAGCCCACCGGGCCCACGAGAACTGGATGAATTGGAACCATGTCTCTGTCCATCGTCCTTGGCTAAGGAGATTTGCCTTTGGCTAAGGCAAGCAAATGCCGTTGCAATGTGTTTTTTGGCCTATCCTAATACCAGTACGTGATGATACTATTATAAAGGCCTTTTCCTCAATTAACATAGTGTAATTGTTTTCCGACTGTGACAGGTAATGGGACAAACACAACATGAAAATGACAAACATCGCACATGGTTTGGACATGTGTGATTTAAGTGACTTTTGTTGATCTTCCCTTCTGAATTGCATTCTTTAACGACTACATGACTAAGGATCAATAACCCTGGTTGGGCCAGCGGGACACTATAGTCATCTATATAGTCGTTATACCCGTGTACAGTACTCTGCACTGGTTGACTAGTATTGACTAAACGTTCGTCCGACCTAAGGGAATTCTCCACAGTCCTGGAGATAAAAACCATGCATTCACGTATGCACGGCCTCTCCACAAAAACACAATGTACCCCTAAAAGTCCCAGCAGTAATAGAAATGGAGTACAACATCAATGGACACACATGACCCATCATGACCCTGTGAGCCAATGGGTGTCTACATTCTCCCAACGGACCTGGAAAATCCAGGTCTACCGTAGACTGCATTGAAATCTCTGTCTTTTTGAAACCATTCACTACCACCAACCCATCCTCCAAAAACCGTGCCCTTCTACCCGACCCCCAACGACCTCCAACCCGCGGGCGGCCTCGGACACGACCTCCGAGCCGGTGGGACTGTCCAGGACCATGACAGCGCTGCCCGCATAGATCACATACCTCGGTCGATGGCGCTGTTCTTTCTTCCCCAGACACGACCCGTCTGGGACTGCCATAGGACTGCCGAGAAACGTCCAGGGGTGGTTTGAGGGGTCAATTGATCGGCATATATGGCAGTCCCATGGAGTGTCTGGGTTCTTTCTGCTCCGAAACCGCGAGAAGACGGGCTGTCGGATGGCCGCGCGGTCGTGGGTAGGACGGTCACCTGGGTGGACGGTCACCGGCCTTTTTGGGGTCAAACACCATCACCATCCGTGAGTTCCATGCACAGTGTTCATCGAACGATTCTCGAGCCGAGAATCCACCCCTTGAGGTCCTGGAGCCAGCATGCGTGTCGAAAGAATTGAGAGATTGCAAAGTCATCAGATGGTTGGAACCGAATTGAAAGGAAAATCCATAAAACAAAACATGTGGCTGCTTCATTGGTCATCTTCGTGGCGCCCACTTTTGGGGGGGCAAAAGCCTTGGCAAGTCCAAAACATACACTTCAAATGGCCGTAGTAATCACTTCCAATGATCATGGCGCTTGGTCCCAATGCCTCTTGTCATTCACAAGTCGCAAAAAAAAAAGCCGAATGAGTCGCAAAACAGGACACCACTGCCGCGCTCTCCGGACTTTGCCCTGGATGATGACGCGCTCGCCCGGCCGGAAGTGCACGAAACCTCTCCGGCGGCAGAAGCGGAGAGAAACAAACACCATACCAGGGCCGGGGTGGTCAATGGACACCCCTTGACCTCTAAGGGGCTATCAATAGACACCCCTTAGGGTGTCCTGGTGCTCACTAATTAATGATTTCATGTCTGCTGGCCGCCAGGCCTTTGGATTCCTGAACACTCTTTTTGGCGACTTGATCTTGCGAATTTTACGTGTACAGTACTGTGCAATCGGGATTGCAGGACCATGGATTTAAGATTGATGCACCAAAATGTAGGCCGGGGACCACCCAGAAAAATCAGCTGCTAGAATCTGTGACATTTTTGAAGAAATGCCATGAGACCACCAACATCCACCAAACACTCCCCCGACATCACCAAGTCTCAGAACTGCAAATAGACCGATTGAAAAGCAGATTCTCTTCCTGTAGATTCTCTCTGTCAACACTTCACAAAAATCTATGCTAGTCCTTTTTGGCCCATCATTTGCCACACGAAGCCCTGTGCTTCTCTCTTTTGGTCCTCGCACGAGAATTGGTGTCATTCATTGGAGCCTGCCCTAGCTCATGACCTCGCTGTGAATGTGAGCAAGGACTCTGACTCGATGTGTCATACTTTTTCAACCAGCATTTCAATGTTTAAGGGGAAAATAATGGGACGATCATCCATATGTTCTTGAGTCAGTCATAGGTCACTGTTTGTCGATGCGGGCAAACTCCAAGGTCATGCAAATCAAGCATAACCCCCACTGGCCCCAGGGCCAATTGGCCCCTTCTCACACTTGGAGAGGTCTAAAGTAATCTGCTCCGGCAAAGGTAAGGTCTCCTGAGCGAGGGGCACGTGAAGTATGCTTGGTTGTGTTGCCACACAGTAGGCAGGGGGCCTCACACTTTCAACACAAAACTCGCTGATGTGGTGGGGAACTAAAAAGTCTAGCCCCACAAAAGGCTTTAAAGTTTAAAGTTTTAAACTTTAAAAGTTGAACAATGTTTGAACACACCATACCATATCACATGTCCCTTCTAAAACTGGAGCTAATTTGTGGACCCGCTGGTGAGCTCGTGTGGCTGCCGATGGAAGGCCGGACTTCGCTTTGGGGAAAGCCCTGGTGTCACACCAGCGACCTTCGACTTCACCCACTGTTCTGCCCGCCAGTCAACGGCAAACCTGGGATGCAGGGTTTGAATTCCGACCGTCACGAGCTGGATCTGCGATCGTGATCGTCCCAACGGATCTCGAGCGTCTGCTATCGGTCTTCCGAACCCGAAGACGAAGGCTGAAGCACATCAGCAACGCTCAGGACTCATAACATCTCATACCTAGCACTTCCAGTGCCCTGTCTGGAGGCCTGTAAGGTAGGGTCGTCTGACACCCATGTCCAGGATGACCCTGGTATGAGTGAATGCAGAATGAACTGACCCCAAAAGGCCCCCCCCAACAACCATCAACCGACCCATCCGCCTCCCCGTGCCCTTTGGCCGTGCTCCCCATGGTTCGGTGAATGCCTCCTAAACGCCAAGCCTCCACCGAGATGCATGGGGTCCATCGACCAGGACCCTCCGACCTTCGGGGTGCCCTGTCTGGAAGCCTATACTCTATAGGTAGTGTGGGGTAGTTCAGCCAGGACACCCCGACAGGAGGGTCCATCTACCATCGTATTAATGATTTCACACTCCAACCCCTTCGCGTAATCCCGAAGAATGGTGGCAAAATTGGTTCCCAACATACACCAAATACCACCCCAAACGGATCATCTGAAAGACACTCAGTGGTTATAAATATTTTGAGGGGTGGGGTTCTTCGATCAGTCTCACTATGAACATCTCTCCAACCCTAAAAACCACTTCAATGTGAGCGGTTTAATTGAGCAATCATTTAAAAACAAGCAACCAAATAGTAGCCTGCCAGGACTCCTGGACCTCTCCAATCTTTCGAAGATCCACCCCCTGTTTCAGAAAAATCCTCTCCCTCCCAATCACATCAATCACCCCCCCCCAATTACCAAAAAAGACCAAAACCAGGAGTCGATCTGCTTGGAAAAGTCCGTCGGCGCCGGCGGCTCCAGGTCCAGCAAATCGCCACTTCCGGGTGCGAGGTCCAAGAGGTCCCCCGCTGGGCGTGGTGCTCCGGTGTCGGGTGGAGAGGCTGGAGAGGCCTTCGTCTCCTTGGGAGAACCGATCTCGGTCGGGTGAGAGGTCGTGGTGGGCGCGGGCCGGTTTGGGTCGAAGAGATCGTCAGACCGGGCCGGGACGCCGGGACGGCCATCCATCTCTATCGATCATGTTCTTGTTGACTGACGGATGTAGGTAGGACCAAACCCAAGATACTACCCAAGATATAAACCTAACTTATAACTGCCTGTTTAGATGAACAGGGCTAAGAAGTTGGTGGACAGGCCTCCTAACATGTGGCAAGTGCAGCTCGCAAGAGGTGGTGCGTGAGTACCGCCACTTTTGGCTCCAAAAGGAATGATAGCCATTGACCGTTTCCCAGCCCATGGGGAAAAAGGTCGGTGTGTTGATTCATCGAAAATGAGATTTTGGAGTGGACATATACCAACACAAGTATAGACATAAGTAGACCCTGGGCCAAAACCGTGCACATATGTCATCGACTGTTTATACTTGTGTCATCGCAGTTCTCACATATCACTATGTGTGTGTGTAGATATAAGTCGAGATATGTCGAGATCATATTTGAACTCCCATACCACCCATCCCCAATCATCCCCACATCCCAAATGACTCAAGCATTCAACTTCACTTCCCAAAACGGCTTCCTTGCCACGGTCCATCGTCACCAGTCCCGTCCCGTGTCACGGTGGGCCTCCTGGAAGTCCAGCAAATCCACAGCAGCGGACGATGGACGCGCCGCGTTCATCTCGCCTCGCAAAGGCGACCTCGACTCAGCCTCCCGAGGCGAGCTCTTCGCCTCAGCGAGGTCGAACACGAAAGTGGTGTCAGTTTGAAGGGTGATGCCCCACTGCTTGGTGAGTCGGGTCCCTCCAAAGCGATCAAACAACATGCAATCTATGACTCTATGACCATCTCATATGGGTTTTGAGCAGTTGAAAATGATGGGACCCTACCACAGGCATTGGTCACTTTGATATTTGCACACCATGGATCACCATGGATTTTTGAGCTGGAGATGATGTTGTACGCATAAGTGCTGGGATCCCACTAAAGGCATTGTTTTGGGGATGTGTGTGTGTGTGTGTCTGTGTCACTTTGATGTAAGAATGTATATGTGTTTTTGTGTTTAAACATCGCTTTATATCTCTTTGATTGCGCAGTAGTAGGTCATTAGGTACATCTGGTGGTGCATGCAACTTAAAATAATCGAATTCAAGGGTTATGCAAGAACCACCCTAGGGAGTGATCCAATAATTGTATATCTTTTTTACACTCAGAGGTACAGTAAATTGCATCAAAAGGCTCCATTTTAGTGGCTTCAACCGATGTCCCACCATCATGTCCCACTGTCTTCGCCGCTTTCCAGCACGAACACCATGGCCCAGTGGCCGTTCGTTCGGGGCTTTCCGCGTCTCGCCGCCGGCGTTCCTCCTCCTCCTTGCGCCGCGCCTGCTGTGCTCTCCGTCGTTCCTCACGGCGGAGTGGTTGCCCGAGCGACGGTGGACGCGGAGTCCTCCCACGAAGACCTTTTGGTTTCGCGGACTCATCCGAACCCTTTGGGCAAATCCACGAACAAATCCACCATCTCCGTAGCGAAACATTCCGACACACCAAATCCAAACCATGCGTGCATCATTAAAAAAAGGAAAACAACAAAAACCGGGCAAGGAGGAGATTCACTTCAGATTCAAGATCCAACCACCCTCATTTACACCCGTCAGTCTACCTGTCCCATCCAGCTGTGCGCTGTGCGCGGACGGAACCGCTGTGTGCCTTCAGCCTCTGCACACGGGGCACCGTCGTTGGCATGCGGACTGGTTCCTCTTCCTGCTCCTCAGCCTGTCCACCTGGCATTGTTCTGTGGGGGGTACCTTACCCCCCGTGCAACCCCGTGAAATATTTTGGAATATTCTGCTATGTTTGGACATGGATTTCAAAAATAATCCAGAACTCATTCACACACAGAATGTGAAAGTCAGTTTATTATTCCATGATGGTTGCACATGATAACAATATATATTCCAGGCCATTTAGACATCTTTAGACATGTTTCCAACTTCTGGGTAGGACAGAATCATTATTCCATATTATTTCACTAACTCAGGGGTATACCTGCGAACAATTAAATAGCGCACCCCTTATATTGTTCTAATCAGGTAACTGCATGAGTTTCTGTATTTTAGTGCCAGTCCCATGGGTCATGTCTGAGTTGGCATCCACATTGGGGCCGAGTCCTCCGCCGTCTCGACCGCGGTCCGAAGCAAACGATTTCTTGAACTTAACGGAAAGGAAACGTCTGGTAGAGAAAGTTGGAATTCACTCAGTAGTGAAACGATGTGAAACGTAGCATGGGGAAAAAAAACAGTCTCCTATAGCTGCTAATCTAAGAAGCGCCGACACTAGTAAAGGCCAAGAACCGAAGAAGTCTCCATTGGAGGAAGTCCTTTCACTTCCCTCATTCTCGGTCGCACCAATCCGAATAACTGAGCCAACCCATGGCCAACATTGGTCGTACGTATATAAGGTAGACCCTGGTGTTGAGAAAAAAGGTCCAAACCATCCATGGGACTGCCATATATGCCTACATTCACCCCTGTTCATTAGAAGGTAAATAAGTCATACATCTATACATTTTACCCGTGAGAAGCGCCTCCAATGAGGAAGTCCAAGGCCGCCTGAGTGTTGTTCCTCGGACCCCGGGGCGCACGCACCGCCCGGCGCTGGGACTTTTCATCGGTCGAGACGCGGCTTTTCATCAAAGGCCTTACCCTACTTGCTCGGACCCGACTTGGCTAAGCTTAGCTAAGTCCAACTTGGACCATATAAAGTAAAAATACTATGTAATACTTTGCCTTGACTTGGCTTGGACTTAGCAGCAGCAAGTGGCCACTGAACCAAAAATCTTACAGTAAACATTATATACCAAATATAATGCCGCCACAAAATAGATGAAATATGATGAAATTAAGTTGGACATTACAGCCTTAAGTGGCAAAATGGTGGGTCTACCAGTTGGCAACAAACTGCCACCTTGGAACGTGGAACAAGAATGACAAACCCAAAGAGTCAAGAGACGTGGTTTTCCGGTCAAAGCCCCACTGGACTTGAAGAAACGCATGTCTTCGCCGCGATGTATTTGCACCCAGGCGCTTGAACTTTCTCAAGGCTTGTCTTGCCGGCCCCTCTTCAAAGCCCTGTGACAGCAACGAGGACAAGGACAAGGGATCTACCGGCACCGCAGGCCCCTCGCTGGCGGCGGAATCCAAGCCTGCGGCAGCAGCTGCAAGAGGAGACATGAATCATGCACATTGGCATATCGGTGGACCTGTGGCTTGTGCCACTTATATGCCGCTGATATCCACCTTGCAGCAAAGTTTCTCCTCAAGAGTCTCTTGCAAGAGGTGAGTAAGGGTTGTTTCAAGTCGATGCTTTGGCCACATGAAGAAGGTACCACAACACACCCAGCACCGGACATCCACCGCTCATGTCCAGGTTGAGCTCCGCGGTGCCTTCCAACGGCCCCTCAAGACCATGTGGAAGCACTAAACGTCACTAAGCACTAAGCACCAGTCAACACTCACCCAACCCAGAAGTCTAAGGCGCCTCTTGCGCCTGTCGAACATTTGATGGTTTCGATGGACTGCACATATCTTGGGAGTCAATCCGAAAATGATGTTCAAAATCCCATTCCTCACCCCCTTTGCACCCAAAAGGTTCCATCCTCCATCCGCAACTCCGCCGCTTCCGCCCGGGTCGCTTCGCTTCGTCTGGGCCTTCTCCCGGTTTATTCTTGTTGTCCTGGACCGGGCGCTGAACGAGCAGACCTCTTTCGAACGCCAGAAACCCACACGTGACTGACTCTTCTCCCTTGGTGACTGACTCCGTCCGAAAGGTCCTTGGCCAACTTTTCGATGAGACGAGCAGAGAAGTCCGTGACGACCTGAAGGAGCGTAACGGTGGCGGGTCACAACGTGGGGCTCACAGAGGCAAATGTGTTCCGTGTATACCTGGACCCCACAGGGGGGGTGAATGGACACCCCTTGGAGGTCAAGGGGCTATTAATGGACACCCTTTCCCGTGGTGCTGGTATATGTTTTTTTTTTAATTGTATATTATCTATAATATCGTATATATGCTAATGAATGTGGACTCTTAGATGACATTTCGGCCCCCATATGAAGAGGATGTTCAATTCCAACGAGGGGGGGTTGCCAATCACGAGTCTACACTAGTACATGATCTGTCCAGTCATGTCCAATCCTTGGAAGAACTTGCTCTCCTTGGATGACCGTAGTGAACTCGACCCTTTGGACTTAACCAACCTGCACCCATCGACGACCACATCCGGATCTCACCGACCGGCACGCCGCGTCGACGTTGGACGCGGCGGATCGCGGAGCGCGGAGGCAGTGCGCCGCCGAACGGAAGTGAAGGTGACGACCTATTTGGGGTCACTCTGTGGAAGGGGGAAGAGAGGTGAAACATAACAGGGATCACAAAGGGGTGGTGTGCTTAGTCCCCTTACGTGAGTGGAGTAGCTGGGCACCCCTAACCCTAACCTCCATGGATAGCACCCCTTTGTGACCCCTGGTGTTTGTTCTTTCTTTGTTTCTACTAGTGATGGCCTCCAACCTACTGGCAAACTATATCAGACCTCCTCCAAAGTGATCGGTTCTCCCAAGTTTTCAGAAGTGATTATCCTATTATTTGGTATCCCAGCCAGTCACCCGGAACAAGCGACATCATTTCTGTGCAATGTCCACCAAGAGTATTATGGACCTAGAAACGATCCAACAGTTCACAACTGATGTTTACACTCCAAGTCACTAGCGTGCAAGTGGATGACCACCCTGTTCGTAAACGAGAAGAACCATCCAACGCGCCATGCCATCCACTTCCATGATTTTTTCAAAGACTGTATCCATCTTCAAACCGTGAGCCGTCCGGAGCGCAGGGTGTGGGAGGTGCCAAAAGCCAACAGGAAATGCTGCTCAAACTGTCAGCACTCCAGATTAACCACTCCGTTCAGACCGTTGGGATGGACGCTGGCGGCGAACATCGGCGACCGAGCACCTCGTCTGGATTCTCTTCCTCCTCTTGCAAAGCCATCTCCACCTGACACGAGTTTGGCTCGGGAACTCCACGGCGCTCAGCTGATCGGCTTGGGAACACCCGATTGGGTAAACTTGGAGAGCCAGCCGCCTAACAACGAGGTCTGGTCCGGTGCTATGAATTCAGAGTTCGCACTCAAAGTTAACACCGGATATGTTAGGATATGTTAGGCGTGTATGTCTTTTTTTGATCTGATCAGTTCTTTGCTGGCTTTATCCCTTCAGGAATTTCAGTTGCGGGATGCTGCGGGAGCAATTGAGCTAGGGTGGTTCAACAGCGCTAGTCGGTTGAAAGAAAATGAAAAGAATCAGTAAAATCAACCACGAAATTAGGTACTTTCCAATACTTTACCTGGGCGGCCGAGTTTCACCTGCCCTTTGGAAACAATTGGGTCATACAACATCACAAAGATCGTGGAACCTCCAAACGATTTTGAAAGGGGCCGAATGGGGCTGACAGACACAAAACCGAGGTTTCCAAACCTTTGGCACGCCTCCCCTATCAATCCCCAAAAGAAGCTATACTCATACACCTAACTGGACCCGACTTCAAGTACCGAGCATGACTCCTCCTTCTTTATAAACCACAAACACACAGTATATAGAAAACCACATGCTTCGGAGGCCAATGCCCTGCCGGCCCAACTGCGGAACAGGAGCCACGCCTGCGCTTCCAAGTGGTCGGGCGTCATCTCCACCATGGGCCGAAACTCCATCCGTGCCGGAAGCACGCCACTGATGGAGTGAGCCTTGAGTCGTTTTCTCCAGCTGCGGAAGGAAGGGGGGAAGGAAGGAAGCAAGCGCTGCCAAGCTGGGGAGCCTGGTGTTGGATGAAGCACTGCATGGTTCCAAAGACTTCCAAATGCACATCTGGTATGGTGCGATTTGGGCACCACATGCACGCTCAGCCACATGCCGTCCCACTTCCTGTTCAAAACTGTTTGCTTTCCAAGAGCAAGGGCTCTTGAGCCCGCCCATGGGGCACCCGCACTGCCCGAGCAGTCCAAGGCACTGAGGTGGCGAAGAATTCATACTGGAGATACTTCAAGGTCTGAAGACAACTGTCCAGAATATCACCTTTATACTCCTGAGCGTTAACGTTCAGTTCAGAGCATGCTTTTGACTCACACAATGCGCTTTTGGTCCCTTTTTTGTGTACCCAAATCTTTAAAGGGAGGACGGTTACCCTCAGTCAATCACCGACTTGATGCCTACTTTTTTTTGAGACGGTCACCCTCTTTGTTGAGACCCATGTTCAAGGTCCAAAGAGAATCCAAAAGTCTACATCTTTGGGGATTTTGGGGGTTGGTCTTCCTGGAAAAAAAAGATTGGACCAAGCCCCACCACACGGTCCATGCAGTGATCGTTGGCAACAAACGGCCCATCTGTTGGCGGACCTGACGTGGTCCACAACCTTGCGAGTCTTCGGTAGATAAACAGGAGCCTTCAAAGATGGTTCAAATTGTTAACAAACATGTTGCGTTGGTTTTGTAGTCTAAGGCCCTAGTAACCCAATCACTCATTGCTCTTAGAATCTTAGAATCCAAGGTATCAATCCTCGTGTTTTTCGTGCGAAAGCCGAAGACGTCAAGGCCACCAATGGTCAATGGTCTTCCCTGGGCCCTCTGGTGTGAAAGTCTCCCAAAGAAATCCGGTTTCAGTCTCTTCTTCATTGAATTAACTGCTCAACACTTCACATTACCTTAAAACGGAACTGGACCCCAAAACGCATGGCTCGCATGTGTTGAAGTCTCCTCGAGGATGTAGAGCCACTCGAAGATGTGCTTGTCCACCTGACCGCTTCGGTCGTGAGTCGTGAACCGAATCGTGCGCCGCAGCCGTGAGTCGTTCCGGATCGAAGGCGATCGAAGGCGATCGAAGGATCGAAGGCGCAGAAAGGCCATATGTTACAGTAACAGTCACTAAAAATCACAAGTCATTGGTGTTCTCAACAGGTCCTCGCCGTATTTCCGAACACAGGTCTTGATGTTCTCCCATGCCAACACCTGCCAAGAGTGTCCAAGAATCAAATCGTCGGTTGAACACCTCTTAAGGTCAAAAGGACTTTGGAATAATACGCCCTCCAAACTTGTGTTGTGGGGGCGTATTCATGACATACTAATACGTAATCATACGTACACCATATACTGGTCCCCCCCAAAGAAAGATACAAATGGTTTTGTACATTCGTAAGGGATTCGCTTTTCTACCTTTTTGTTAAGGTCCATATCCATATGAGGCCTTTTGACCTCTGGTTAGCCTCCAAGTCCGTCTCGCGCCGATGCCTCGCCCGTCCGTCGCCTCGTGGAAGGACAACTTGGCAGATTCCAACTGAGACTGCGCCGCTAAATATTTGCCTTGGAAAAAGCGCCTTTGGCACCTAAATGGTTCAAACCTTCTATATAGATGGCTATCAGAAAATCTCTAGCGCAAGGCGCAAGCTAAGGAGGCCTGCAAGTTGTGGCCTTCAACGTCCATTGACGTCCAATCGCTTTTTTCGCGGGGGCGTGCGCCAGGGTGCAACCAGGAAGATTCTCTCAAAGTTCGGAGTCCAGGGGTCACATGTCGGGGTGGTGTTTAGTCCCCTTACGTGAGTGGAGTAGCACCCCTAACCTCCATGGATAGCACCCCGTCTTGTGACCCCTGGACTCCGAACGTCTTTTCCGGACCCGGTGGGTGGCTTTTGTATGCTTTTGTATGTTTGGATGTCAAACGTACAGCGCCGAACATCGGTCGCCTCCCGATCGGCGATGCGGGATCGAGCCGTAGCGGCCGTGTGTTTTCTAGGCGTCTTGTCGGAAGAGGTCGTCCTGGAGACGCGCATGATCTGGTTACTACTTCCAACCGGGGGGCCGTAGGGCTATAGCAAAAAGTGAAGGGGACGGTTTCACAATTCAAAGGGCATCGCGGCATTGCAGATATTTCTGTACCGTCTTTATGCAACTTGTATTCCGCGTACTGTTGTCTGAAGTGGTCTGGCCTCCCAAAAACGACGACTATAGGCACCCAGTTCGGTTCACCATCCAATCACCGAAAGCAACTGGCATGTTGACAATATGCATACACTCCGACGCACTACCATGAAAGTGCAAAACCACCTGTTTGTAAAGGAAGGTAGGTAGTCTTCCAAGGGGTCATTTTCCACTTCCATGTTAATTAGTGAGTCAGGGAGTATCTCCTTTTAATTGATTTCTCCCAGCGTCGGTCGGTGGGATGAAGATTCTTTTTGACGCAGTCCTGCAGCCGCCGCAGCAAAACCCTCGCCCAGGAGGGGCGTAATGAAAGCCCCGAAACCCAAAGCGATCCGGACCCTGAACACTGATTCGTAGAGGAAAACCATCATTCCAGAAGTATAAAAAGGGATATTGTTAAAGGTCTCTTCTTGATCCTATAGTCAAAATGCCAGGAGCTCCTAGTAGCGGTGCTCGATCACTTTCTATGTAAGCCCTGAGGAGGGTATGTCTCTTTATTTCATGTTCCCGATGCAGTGATGCAGCCTTTCCCACGAGCGAAGAAAGAGTTAAATACCGGGACTAACCTAACGTGATGATTGCTCTTGGGATGGAATCCAGGCCGCGGAGGACACACGTTGGCCACCGAGGGGCCTTTGTTCACCCGGTTCATTCCTCACCATCGGTGCCACAGTGTGCGCCGCAAAAAATCGATGTGATCGTCGTTGGCGTTGGCATCCCAGAACGTCCAACACCTTCATTCAAGATAGATAGATATCTTCTTCACAACCTCAACGCTTTGCCCCCAAGTTCTCTCCCTTCAGGTTCCGAGAGAAGCTGATGGTGACGCTATATGTGACGCTGAAGCGGACGGTCCTCCATTTCTCGCTTGGCGATGTTGAACTCGAGGAGTCTCCGGCGTCCTTTTCGTGGCTTTCGGGACGGAGGACGGACTGCGGGCTTTCGGGTCGGCAGTTGGTTGGTGTGATGTTCCGAAGTGCCGAGGGAAGGTACCAAACTAATGTGGAGCTCCGCTCCAAAAAACTGTTCTTTACAGAAAGGCTGGCTCCCAAGATGATGTCTCCCAACACATGCAGCTAGATGAAGCAACAGGTCCGTCCCAACGGTCAGCATTGGTGGTTGCCAGGACCACCAAGCTTGGAGGTCCTCGCCTGGGGAACTTGGTTCATGCATGTTCATGCCAATCCTAGGGCAACACCTGCGTCCAGAGTTACGATACAGGATGCAGGGCTCTACTGTGCTCATGGAACCCAACGACGAACAGTGCATACAGAAATCTAAGGAATTGATACTACTGTCCATGTCAAATCTTCGATCAAGAAGTGATCATGCCTCACATGGCTTGGTGATTGAATCCATGCTTTGGACTCAACTGACTGGATCTGCAGGTTGGCTAGTCAAATCAGTCAGAAAATGCTGGAAAATAGTATTTGCATTTAGCATCTTGGATATCTTGGTGTCTATGTCCTGCCACGGTCATCAGACCCCGTGGTTTATCCGCTCCACCCACTTTTCAGAAGATGAAGATTCCATACTCAACCACTCCATGTGACTGGAATATAATATACTAGGAACAAGAAGCTACTAGGGGCTCCTCGCATCGACACTAGGA